AGTTGAGGAGGGAGAGTAATAGAGCGGCTGCGTGGTGCTTAGCTGCTGGCTTGGGTTAAACCACAACATGCCCAAAGAGGAGACATGTTGGATTGTGACCTGCGGGGCTGAGCACCCAACTCCTCCCCAGTCTTGCTCACTTTTCTCTTACTGGCACCCACTGAGATGCTGGGATGTGCCCCTGGGGACACAAACTGCCCCATCTCGAGCTCCTGGCTTCTGCCAGCTGGAAGGAAGAGGCTCCGAAACAGTGGAGGATCAGCCTGCAGAGCAGCTGTGCCCCAGGACGTGGATGCAGCCCACAGGGAGCCGTGGCTGCTGCACTTACCTGGATAGTAGATCTCACTTCTGGTGGTCCCCTCCTTCCACTGCCGGAAGGTCCCCGAGATGACGGTGTCAGAGATATCCGCCCAGTACCGACCTGTGGGAGGACAGACAGCACTGGCTCAGCGTGTCCCTGCTGGGGATGGCTTGGGAGCCCAGGTCTGAGCCATGGAGCAGCCCTCTGGGGAGAAGGATGCCAGCCCCGGGGCCTTGACACACTGAGGACCACAGCCGGGTCTGGTACCCAGGCTGCCTGTGTGACTGGCCATATCCCACCAGCCTGGGCTACTCGGTGTCCTTAAGCCCCATCGCTTCCAGTGTGTTTGGCATTCACTCCCTGTTGAAACACTGGGAGATGCAATGCCTGCCACTGCCTGCCAGCTGGATGCGGAGAGTCCTGGCCACACAACATGGCATGCACAGGGACCTGCAGGCACTGCAGGACACCACAGGGGCTGGTCCCCACACAGAGGGTGTTTTCCAGCATTGTGTGCCCCATAAAAGAAGCGGAGCACTGGTCCCAGGCACACCATGGGGAGGGCAGCCAGACCCCAATGAGTGGAGAGGAAAGAGCTCAGAGAAACCCCCCACCTGCCAGCCCTGTCTCCCCGCTTACCTGAGTGGCCCCCAGTGTCAACAGCCGTCCCAAAGAGCAGCACGTACTCGGTGAGCGAGGCGTGCAGGAGGCACATGGAGCCCATCCACCCGCCTGCATTCACAAACACCCACTGCAGGTCCTCATCTGGCAGGATATGGCCTGGGTGCTTCTTCCGTAGCTCCACAATGATCTTGGAGAAAGCCAGCTCATGGTCCAGCCCTGCAGCACCCAGGGTCACCGTGAGTCCCTGGCATTGAGCAAGCTCTGCCGGCACCTCCCTGAATCCTCCCCACAGCCACAGGGTCCCAGCACATCCTTAGAGGGATCTGCCTAGGGAAGATGTCTCCTCTCTCCAGCCTTCGGCCCCCATGGCCGCTGACCCAGCCCCACTGCCTACCCAGATGGTGATGGAGGATGTGCAGCACCGAGTGCTACAGTCTAGAGCCCACCCTATGTGCTGGGCTATATGGGGGACCCAAGCAAGGTGACAGCGACCCTGCCCTGGTGACGTGTAGCACCTCTGTTGCGACCAAACACCCTGTGCCCTACGGGGCCAGCCCTCCCCTCCAGCCCTAGTTGGGGGGTCGGTTGTGCCCCTGGCCCACCTGGGGCTTGGTCCCCCGACCTGGCCCAGCCCCAGCACCGAGAGAGCCACCTTAACCTCGGGTTCAGCCCCAACCAGGCTGGGTGGTGCTGCTGCCCCAGTCCCCATCCCTTCTTCGCTCCAGTCCCATTCCTCCATCCCACTTCCCCCATGCTCCCGGCCACTGTCCCCCGGTATCGCTCCCCTTCCGCCGCCG